GTGATAATGTCCTTAGACAATTCTAACTTTAGTACTCAGTTGTTTGTCTTTCCTCTTCCAGATCTTTTCTAGTTCTTTCATAGCTGCCCTTCCCATTCCCAGTCTTCTTCTTATCGCCAAAAGGCCCACAATAAAACAACAAATATGTAATATAGCTGTAAATAAACCATATGAAATGAATTTATATTTATATTCCTGTTCTTAGCTTTTATTTTAAAATGTCCTACATTTTGTGGTGCCTTGTGCTCCTTTGCAGTGATAACATCTGTGCGCACTGTCCCAGGCCTGTCTGGTAAGCCTTCTCAGTAGCTGCTCCTAATTTATGGAATTTCCTCCCAAGGGAAGTTTGGTTTGATCCCCTCTGTTCTCTTTTCACCTGAAAGACCTTACTATTTAAACAGACTTTCAGCTTTAACTGGCTGGGAAAGAGGAGTATGCAATAAGGTATTTTTTTTTTTTATGTTATACAGTGGGTCCTTGGTATCCACTGGGGTTTGGTTCCTGGACCCGTCGTGGATACCAAAATCCATGGATGCTCAAGTCCCATTATATTCAATGGCACAATGAAATGATGTCTCATATATAAAATTGCAAAATCAAGGTTTACTTTTGGGGATTTTTTAAAATATTTTCACCCTGTGGTTGATGGAATCCATGGATGCAGAATTTGTGGATACAGAGGACTGACTATCATATGTATTCCATATGTTAACATTGTTTTTAAATTAATGACTTAAAAGTAGTGTTTCAATTAGATTGATGGTTAATGCTTTATTAAATCTTGTACTGCGTATTGTTATAGCTGATTTGTTTTAACTTATATTGTAACCTGCTTTGAGTCCCATTTGGGAGCAAGGAGGGATATAAATCAAAGAAATAAAGAAATAAAGAAATATTACATTAGACTGAAATGCTGATTTGGTTTAGGTTTGCCTTGTTTGGCGTGTGGGGTTAATAGAATACATATTGGCTGAGTGGTTCTGCAGACCAAGCAAGCTGGACTTGTTATTAGGGAGATTGAGGTGTCCACCTCAGGTGGCAGATGCTGGTTGGCAGCATGGACAACCTTGGCTGCTTCTCCTGAGCCTCATGGCTGATACACAGTTCTTGGAGCCAAGAATTTTGCATGACCTGCCTTGAGCCCCCTAAACCAGAGCTAAGAAGCAACCTAGATCTTGACTAAAGTTCTTGTTACTGTTGCTGTGTGCCTTCAAATCATTTCTGACTATGGTGACCTAAAGGTAAACCAGTCACCGGATTTTCTTGGCAAAACTTGTTTAGAGGACTTTTGATTTTCCTTCCTCTGAGGCTGAGAGAGTGTGACTTGTTCAAAGCCACCCAGTGGATTTCCTTGGCCAAGCAGGGATTCAAAACCTGGTCTCCAGATTTGTAGTCCAGCACTTAGACCACTACACCACACTGGCTCTAACTTAAGGTTATCACATATGTTAAAACAGCACTGTAATAAAGGATAATTTTGTGGCATAACTGTAATTGGTTTTAATTAATTTTCTAGTCTGTAAACATCTTTAATATGCCCCCTACTACTACCTTTATATTGTTAGTTCTTGAGTGTGCAAGTGAGTGGATATCTGATGTGAATGATGAGCTCCTTTGACTATAAATAAAATTATGTTGAACCTGCACTCAGGAGTCCTGTTTCTTGGAGCTGTTATACACGGTCTTGATCCCCGCTTTAGTTGCCTGAGCCCCTGGCATCCCTAGGGTAGGTGTCACCGGGTGTGGTCACTCATGGTGTCACACACACCCATTGACTTCCTCCCATTTCACACTATACAGAATCCTTAGTAATGCTTTTTTGCACAAATGTTACCCGTAAATTGTAATTCCCATATGCCATTGAATGTAATGCTAATAGCTGTGACATAATCAACTAGCAAAATTTAAATTATACCTTCAAATTACAATATCATATGCATAACCTAAACGTATTTACATATACATAGTGAAGATTTGGTTTAAAATGTAATGTTTTTAAAGAAAAAATTAAAAGAATAATTTAAAAAATAAAATCAAAATTTAAAATTTTTTAAAAAATTAAAATTTTAAATTTTAAATTTTAAAATGTTTATTTTAAAAAATTCTGGGGACCCTCCTTTTTCTCCCACTGAGCTTCACCTCACTCCCACCATCTCTTAAAACATTTTCAAGAGATACAGGTAAATGCCACAATGTTTCTACCAAAATACAGGTGTTTGAGCAGCAGTGGTGTCATCCCCCTTAGGATGTCATCTGGTGCAGTCCGCACCGCCTCCCCGAATACCCCTAGTGATGGCACTGACCTGAGCCCTCCCAGATGCTGTCATTGGAGCTAATAAAATCCCCCTATTTTAATATTAAGTGTGGGTGTACTCTTGGGGTCCTAGCATTTTGGGTAACACAGTGTAAAGCATTTGCTGCCAATGGCAGAACAGACAATAACAACTTCACCCTGCCAGTCTTGGACACATTATATCCAAAGCTGTCCAAATTACTTTGGCATCCAAAACAGAATATACCACAGGTTCTTCTCCCCATTCTGAAAGTAAAAATACATCAGGAATAAATTCAAAAAGTATGAAACCCAGTATTAGCTGTCAGGGGACTAGCTGTCTCATTCCACCTAATGCCTGCCCTGATTATTTCCACCTGGGCGGCCTAGAGCAGTTGTTTTTAAAAAAAAATATATGCAGTCACATATAAAGGATGGGAGCTTTTTGGATCACTCTTCTCCCCTTTCGCGAACCGGATATGATCATAGCCTGGGGGCGGGTATTCAGGTAGTGTGGGAGCAGGGAAGGTATGGCGGCAACAGAGTTAACAAATGTTACATAAGAAGGAGGGATCAATGCTTAATATCCATCCCTCCTTCAGTTTGCTCTGTTTCCCAGGATAACTTGGAGAATGTGCCAACCATTCCACTGACCCTCAACCTGCTCCTTTGCAATTCCAGGTCGGTCAAAAACAAGACCCATATCATCCACGATCTCTTAGTGAATGAGGCGGCCAACCTGGCATGCTTTACTGAGACCTGGCTGGGGGATGCCAGCTCTGTAACATGGGCGCAGGCCCTCCCAGCTGGGTACTCAGATTGTGAGCGGGTTAGGGAAAGTGGGCGGGGGGGCGGCATAGCCTTGGTCCATAGGAAAACCTTGACCTTGATCAGAAAGCCTATCTGGAAAATGACCTATATCGAGTATATGTACCTTAGCCTGAAG